GACACAGCTCCATCTCCACCCTGCTCACAGCACATACGCATGTAAGACGACTTCTTTGCCGCTGACATTTGTAGCTCATAAATGGAATCTTCTCATGTTATGTTCTTGCTGTAGGTTAAAAATGAAAAGCAATTTGGAAATGTTTTTTATTATTCATAATTAATGCTAATACCTTACAAAATCATACTGGCTGTTATATTTTGTGATATTTAACTACACCCTTTGAGTCCTTATTGCATGGACCAATGTGCAGATGTAGAGTTAAATTAGGCATATGTTCTTCTTGTCTCAAGGGCTCGCTGCAGTGTCCTTACAGAGCGAGGCGAGGGCACCGTGTCCATCTCAGCTCTCAACAGGCACATCCACACGCTGAGGAAGAGGATCAGGCATTTTGAGGAGTGTTTTGAACAGGAGAAGCATTATAAGGTTAGGCAGTGAATCAGACTTGCTTCATCAGCGTGCTGTAAAGATATTTAAGTTCTAAGCTGTTAAGGATGAATTACTCCCTCTGCTGGAACATTGGTAGCATAATGGGTTGTTAGACAATGAGAAATAAGCTGGTGATAAAGATTACTTTGAAAAAACACTTACTTGGTATCTAGTGCAACAGACTGGCCACTGTTATGTGAGATATCTTTTTCTGTTTTTTTTTCCAGCCAGCACACAATGACAAGACAGCACATCCAGAGGTGGCCAGGCTGATGAAGGAGCTCATCAGGTGTCGCAAGCAGCTTAAAGGTCAGTTATATAATCAAAAACATTCTCAAGTAAATTATTTAAAAAACTGCAGCGGGGAAAGAAGTTTCGTAAGTGGTTCGATTGTCGGAGCTACATTGAAGCCTGAGTTGAAAGTATGTACCTGTAAGCTAAACAACTAATTTTAAAACGTTGACTTAAATGTTACATATACCATGAATGTAAATGTCAGTAATGTAGGAGATAATCTATATGTAATAATTAATTAACTGAAATGAAAGAGAGATGTTTATAGAAATTAGTAGGCTGAAATGTCATTTTAAAATGGTAGCAGAGAAATTATTATTATTATTAATTATATTATCTTTAACCTCCTAAGACCCAAACTCTTCCATGGCATGCATTTTTTATTTCTCTTTGATATTTGGGCATATTGGGATCTGATGAATGTAAAAACAAAGAATCACCAGATTTTTTTAACCTAATTTTTGTTTCTAAGAAAAATGAGAGCCACATATGAGGATATTTGTTTAAAATTTTGATGAAACAGAGGCAGTATAATGTCCTCGTAGGTGGATATCAGGACCTTGTGGAGCAAAATTTAGTATTTTGGTCTAGACCAGTGGTTCCCAAACGTTTTTCGCTGGGCCCCCCTTTGTTTTACAGAAAAATGTTTGCGCCCCCTCCCTTGCGCGTACATGCACGCACTAACACATCCTCCAACCACACACGCCCATATTTTGCTCAATTGCGGTTTATTTCACACCTCAAACATTTAGTAAACAATTAAGCAAATACAAGTAATCTGCAGGTAGTAAGAAAATAAACTACTAACTCTTTTACGCTACGTCCGCACCTACACGGGTATTTTTGAACATGCAGTTGTTTCGTCCACACGTAAACGGCGTTTCAAATCACCAAAAACGGAGATTTTTTAAAACTCATTTTTTGCGTTTATGTGTGGATGAGGAATACAGAGTTCGTCATGCAACGTCAAAGGTGTGTGCCTTTTTCCACGTCACGCTGTGCGCCACGTTATTGTTTACATGAGAGGAATTGCAGAATAGCAGATAGTCAGATTAACAGTATTTTATCTCTATCTTCAGGTTTTACATGCTTACATATAAACACGCAGCTACTGTCCCTCCATTTTTTTGTTTTTTTCCCTTTTCATGCCGCGCCCCCCCCCTCCAATGGCTCTGCGCCCCCTCTAGGGGGCGGGCCCCACACTTTGGAAAGGTCTGGTCTAGACAACCAAAAATGTGATGTCCACATATGTGGACACCAGGTCCTAGGAGGCTAAAGTATTTTTCTTTCATATTACATTCCTCTGAAACTCCTGCTCTTTCCTGTAGAGCTGAAGCTAAGGCAGTCAGAAGAAGGTGAAACATGCAGGGGCAATACAGACAAACAGGAGGCAGTACCGACAGGAACTGAGCTCCAGCAGCTGAACAACAACAGCAACACCAAGCCAAACGTAGAGGAAACAGTGAACATTATAACAAACAGGCTGAAGGAAAGACGGCAAGAGCTGGGCCTGCCCGACAGCATTAAGGTTGATTTTGCAGAATTGTTTGTACCATTAACACAAATATAGCAATACAAGTTTGGACGTTAGATGTTCTAAGAGTTTATTAGTTTTCACTACTCCCGTATGTACAGGAGATGTCCCCTTTCCAGATGAGCATGGAGAAGACCAGCATGCAGAAGTGTTTGTTGTACTTTGAGAGTCTTCACGGCCGGCCGGTAAGACAAGCTTGGATGAATGGTCTTTGTTTTGATTCTTTTGAGAAGTAGTTTTATTTATTTTTATAAATATCTTTCTAGTCTGGTGAAAATCCATCTTAACGTTTTTCTTTTTTCATCTCTGTTGTCAGAGCACCAAGCAGGAGCGAACTTTGATGAAACCTTTCTATGATCGCTACCGTCTTCTCAAACAGCTGATTTCTTCCTCAGCCACAGTAAACATTACAACCATTGTGAGTCAACATTCAGTTGATTTTTTTTTTTGAAAGAGATGATGCTAAATTTTTAAGAAGAAAGGTTAAACTCAGACTACATCTGGCTGAATAGAACAGCTGCACAATAATATTATGAAACTTATGTTTATAATATTAAGAGATATAAACAATAATAATGATTTATAGAAAGTCAGCTGGTTTTATCTATCCATCTCTTAACTTTCAGAACTGGAGCATTGAAAATCGTTGGATTTACCTCTCTCTTTACCTTACCATGATTTCTCTTTCTTCTTTATCTGCACAGGAGGAAGAGGAGGGCTCTGATGAAGAGCATCCCAAACAGAGAAGCCCCAGGCAGCAGCCGCTGTGGTTAAAACCCTCCATGTGTGTGTCCTTAGAGGAGTTGCAGTGTCCGCCCTCCCTAGAAATGTCTGAATCGCCTCTGGTATCTCCACTGGAAGAGGTGAAGGTTCTCCACCCGCAGATTATCACTATGGCAACACTACATGAAGCTTCCAGGTACACCGTGTGAGAGTGTGCGTTTTTGTGTGCACGACATCACAACCAGAAAAAACCCCAATTTGCTCAGTCATGTTTTAAAGAAAGATAAAGATCGTTCGCATTTGTTTTTCTTTGATCAGCTTGTCTTCAGTTGTGGTCTATTTATTTAAACACAGTCCAGATGATATAAAAACTTGATGAATTGGTTCTTTCTTAATGCAGACCAGAATTACTCAATCACCTCAGGCTGACTCGATCAGAAAAGCGGAGGGTTCACCAAGCGCTTCGAGAGTTTGAGGACCAATTCTATGCACAGACTGGCAGGTAACACACCATGAAGCACATACGTACGTAACACATCAAGAGTACTTGGCTTTTGAATTTTATTTTGTCTTTTACTAAACTTGGAACATTTGGTTTTCAACAATGCCTTGTGAAAAAAAAGAAAAACATCCACAAAAGAAATTCCATTGTTATGGTACGACAGTGTAATGCACACTCATGTAACATTAATCCAGCACACAGAGCTCAGGAAAGACAGATGTTTGCTCTGAATTGTACACCGTACTGTACATGTTAGTCCTCCAAAGTTAATGCAGTAAGTCTTTTTTTTAATTACAATACACACTGTACAAAGCTATCTGAGTAAGGCAACATAGGGACCATCAACCAGTTATGGAAGCTGCTGCAAGTTGTTTGGAAACTACAAACTAAAGTTTGCTTTTCATTTGCATCTTCCATCCTCCGTATATCATTAACAGGGCATGTCAGAAGGAGGACCGTGGACCAATGGCGGAGGAGTACTGCCAGTATAAGAACCTTAAAGCGAAGCTCCGTCTACTGGAGGCCCTGCTTAGTAAACAACAGGACTCAACCAAGACAAGTTGAGTTACTCACAGTGGGACCTTTTTCTCTAACTTAACAGGACTCGATCGTTTCTGAAATAAATCAGGTCGTGAAGCCGGTGGTTCTGGTCTTGTTTCATGCCATGCTCATTATGTAGATGCACTTTACATGAAGGAAAAAGTGATGGAAATTGGTGACAATCAGAAATGCGGGGTCACTGCAGTCCCAAGAAGACATCCCTTATTATTCATGACCCATCTTATTATAAACCTGATGTAGCAAGCTTATGTTATGTAGCACGAATCTATGTCAAGAATGAAGCGCTGTAATAACTTGATGTTAGTTACACTGGAGTCATTTTAAGATTATGTATTATATGGCACTTTTTGTTATTCACTTTTTCCCCCCTTGCCAAAACACTATTTGACACCTGTGTCCAGGGTTAATGTGGAAAATGCATTTAAAAGTGCTGTGTTGGCAGAAACGTGTAAGCTTAAATGCAGTCAATGAGACAATCCTGCAGTGTTTGTGCATGTCCGTTTTTTAGTCCTACATTGTGCTATGATATGTATTAAGAATTACATAGTTGAGCTATATTGTAACTTTTGAATTTGCGTGTTCACCTTGGAAAAATGTGAATCTTGGTGAACATCATAGTGCAAGTTATACAGTACCTGCTGTCGAATTTGTGTTTACCCCCATTTTTGCCTATATGAAGTTTATCCCCCCTAAATGCCGTTGTTGACAATGATCAGAGCTTTTAACATTGTGCACTTCTGGTTTATATAGTTTTCTATATATCTATATATAATATATGAATGTATCAATAAAAATAAATATTTTTTCACATTTATTCTAATAAACACAGTTTAAGGTTCTATTTTCTTTCTTTGCACTAACTACAACGAAATAAGAATGACTGTTGCAGAAAAGGTTGCTATGACAGAGGTACTGACAGCTTTCAAACTCATGCTGCACAGAACTGCATCATGCTTCTTTTTTTTTTTTTTTTTTAAACAAATAGTTCACTCTTGGTCATCAAAGACTCGGTGAATACACATTTCAGAGGCTGTTGCATTAGTACGGTTAAGATTCCACAGCGGTTTTATGTCTGGTTTTTAATACCTTTGGTATAAATCAAGATGACTATCGATGCTGCAGCCCTAGAAAATTGTAGTACCAGTCCATGCCACTAGGAGGAGGTAAAAACAATTTGTCAACTGTTCAATGACAATCAAACATCGTAAAAAATGACAATAAAATAAGACAATGTAATCAGAAAAAAGAAATTGTCCACACACACAGTGGGCAGTTAACAGTATATCTATAAGAGCAAGGCATAGGCCAATAAAGTATGGGACAACTGATTTGAGAAACAACAGGAAATTGAAATGAAGCAGCCCATGTTTGTTAGTACAGTTAAAGGGTTTTGTAAGTGAGACTTGCCGGATGGGTAGATGGATCTGTGTCGTTGGTGTCCCAGGTTTACATATTTCAGTCTGCTGACTCCTAAGATATCTTTATATGTTTCTGTTTTCAACATTAGGATAACCCACCCTCAGATGAGTAGACAATGGTGCAGGTGTCAGAGTGTTATACCTTCGTCTTTTTCTCCACTCTTCTTTGGGAATGATGGTCTTTTGAGAGTACAGAGCAGTGTCAGAGATATGTTGGTGTTAGCCTACTAAATCTGCTTCATGCATGTGTTGGTCTGCTTCATCAGTACATGTGGACTTCCTTTGTGTGAGTAGAGGTCAGTTACTCCCCCCCCCTCCTACGCTCTTTTTCCTTTTAAACATTCTGCCCCTAGCGTCCCACGCTGATGTTGCAGGTCTTGCAGCTGGGATCCTTCTTGGCATTTACTGTGGAGAGACTCATCAGCTGGTGCCCACTGATCTCTGCCACTGTGCCCAAGGATAGGTCTACAGGCTCTGTGTAGATCACCTCCAAGATGACATCTTGGGCGTGGTGAAACACCAAACCACCATCACCCTCTTCAACCTGCTTGCAGGTAAGGAAACGGTTGTTGCTGATGTCGAGCAAAGGAAGCCTCTGCTTACAAAACTCATCACCCCTTGAGCCTTTCGGTGCTAGGACCAGAATCACATAGTGGTAGGCTGTATACATACAGTAGAAGTCTCCAAAGTACAGGTTGGTGTCAGGGTTGAAGAGCGCATCAGCCCGCACCTCAAAGCGATGGCGACCATACGGGGAATCCTGCGGGGGCTTGCCAGTGTTGAACTCTGTGTTGCAGCTGAAAAAGATGCCCTCCAGCTTACCACTGATGGGAGAGCCATGGCTGCCACTGTTGTCTTTAATAGAGGGCAGCATCCGGTTTTCTTGCGCCTCCCTGAAGTTTGCAAACAAAGGAATGAAATCAGTTTTATTCTGTTTTTCCATTTCTCTGGCAATCAAAGTAGTTTTTGTAAATACTGGAGAGAGTGGCACCAGGTTTTAATTTAGAAATGAAAGAGCAATTTTCTGGAATTTGTAACACATGGGAAATAAACTGAATGCGTAAGATGCAAAACATCTTGTATACTGAGGCTCATAATACAAAAAGTTTTATAGTAATCACATTTAGCTTAGTCCAGTTTGTCTCATTGAAATCCCGGGGGTGAAAATATTCCAATGAGCTGTTTGTTTTTTTTCATTATGACAAACTGCTATAAAACAAAAGCAGCTTTCAGATTAACAACTGAACATTCAAAGCATCTGTGGCAGCTGCATACATCTTCTCCACAGAGGGAATCTGAGCAGCAAAGTCCCAATAATGGAACTGTAATTATTACGGCAAGTCATACAGCTATCACTCCAGAGGTTCTTATTATATCCATATTTCAAGCTTTGTCGTGGGCTTTATGGACTATTCAGCTCCAACCACAAGTGTTAAGAGCCTAATTTGAGCGGTACTGTCAGTACTCTTACTCGCCACATGATGACGCAGTTTAACAGGCGCACGGTACACTGTAGCAGCTACAACTCAGCAAAAGGGAGATGACTATCCAGATGACATCATGCTGTGTAGCACCAACAAAAGACTGCCCACAAGCTGTGGCTTTAGTACAGAGACTGTGCTTTGTTAAGCTGTGAGCATTACCTCTGAGGGACAGGGTGATAGGAGAGAAAACAGTCACTCCGGTAAAAGGAGGAGAAAAGAGGCCAAAAGTGAAAGAAAATTCACTCACATGAAACGAGATAAAAAGCAGTTCACTCTAGCTGCGCAATGCTTCAGTAAACAGTAGTAGACCACTCCAGAGATATCCCTTCTTTTCCTGTCATACTTGTGTTATTTTTGTTTTTCTTTTGACTACATTCCCGAACAACTGCCAGCTATTGTCTGTCAGCTACATGGAGCTTTCAAACAAATCACAGTGTAGAAAAAAAGACCTGGCTTTTCGTTTGATGTGCATGCGTAGCATTGTTTACTGGGGGAAAAAATGGCTGGCTGCTCGAGTACTTATTTCTGCAGATTCATGAAAGCAATGCAGCTGAATCTGGTTTTGCTTTAGCAGCTGAAGAGCAACACATTTTTCTGATATCATGTTACCCACATGCTTGTAAACTGTATTGTATAAAACATGACCAGAAAGGAGTGAGCCGGAGAAGTTTGCTAGAAATGTGTGTGGCAGTGAGCTATGCAAGTTGGCAGATGTGTTAACCCAACAATATAACAGCCAACTCTTTAGATACAGAATGACATGGAAGCTCAGTTAGGTCCAGGCTTTAACTTCTTTCTTTGTAATGTAATAAAGAAGAAAATCATAAAGTTATGCCCACCTGGCATGATCAAAGTACTCTTTATTCTGGTTTCTGTAGAAGACAGAGAAAGGCAGCATCCGCCCAGCAATGACCTCCGCCTTCTCCAGCAGCTGGTTTAGATGCACTGTGGAGTAATCTGGAGAAAGAAACATTTTTGTAAAAATGATTTCTACAAAAGCAGATTAGAAATCTGTATACATGCTATCAGCATTTTGTCATTTATGCCATTAGTATTAGTAAATGTAAACATTAAAAAAACAAAACAAGACCTACTAGAAGCACTGGCTAGGATGAAATATGAACCGTGCATTAAGGATCCTGGCATTTTTCCATCTTTAACTTTTCCATTTAGATATGACTCAGCGTTAAGCCCAAAAACATTTTCGATAAATGGATGTACTCAACGGGGAGTGGACTTTCTCCGAAGCATATAAAAAAATTATGAATGCATTTTCCCCATGGCTATTTTCCCACAGGCACCAAACACATCACCACAGGTAACCGGTTAAAATTCTCAGTACTTTGAATGAAAATGAAAGAAGACATCCGCTTTATCCTGACACTGTAAATGTTTAATGTCAAAAAGGCTGACTTTTATATAGATTGATGGAGCACAAAGCCGCAGCTTTCTACGTGCAGAGGAAAAATGCATTTGACATCGAACTTGTCAAAACATATGTTCGACTGGTTTTGGTGACAGGACGGGCATCTCGTGTCGGGCTGTTAGGATCAACAGCTTCATTTAACTGTGACACAGCTCACACTCTTCACTTGCCTGTCATTCTTCTTCAGATTTAAACTGCCTCTCCTCATCTATTTTATTTGATTGTATAGCTGTTCTACAGGCACTGATAGTCCACCTGTTTGGTCCACACTGAAGTATTTCAGCTGTTAGATAGATTGTCCTAAAATAATGTCTTGATATTACAGTTGCCAGAAGATAAAGCTTACTAATTTTAGTAATTCTATTAATTTTTTTAAGATTAGATTTTTGATTGACTTTACAGAATGTTATGTTTTATATTTTACTATCATAAGGTCATAATATCTCTTTGTCCAATACTTTGATTACATATACTAAACTGGTTATGGACAAATCAAGTGTGTGATCATGTATAGTTTGAATGTTTTATTTGGGAATAGAATGGTGTGTATGTGTGAGTTTGGTGATGGAGCTTTTATTATGAATGAATTATGGGTTTTTTTTATGAATTATTATGTCTATTTTTATGTTTTATGGACAACAGATGGAAATTAGCCCTTGGCTTTAATCTGGTATGTTTACATTCATGTATTTTTTTTTTTTTACATGTATGTTCATTAACATGCACTGTCCTAAATAAAATAAAAATAAATAAAAATAAACTAAAACTACACTAAGAATGAAAACTAGAAGTGAAAACACATTTTAGTTAAATAATAAATAAAAACTAGAAAAAACTAAAAACTTTTGAAGAAAATGTAAACTAACAATTTTGTGAACTTTGACAACTAATTAAAGTAAAATAAAAATGCAGAGGAAATTAGGTCTAGTGCCCTACTTTTTTAGTAAGTATTATTTTAGTATGGATTAAAAACAAAAAGTCACAAGGAGATAAAAATAAAGACTAATTAGAAAATTTAAAAAAAAACTATAATAAACAACTCTGCTCTGCTATCATGGGTGTTGACGCTCAAGTTTATTGGCACTTCAAAGTGTAGACAAAGCGAGATGCAACAATCACCCTAAACTGGAACTGGACATCATAATTAACCCCAGTGATGTCCTTCCTCATCCACCCATGCCATACCTCCCTTCCCCCCTCCTGGTCCCCAGGCAATGACGTTGAACTCCGAGACCTCTGCATTAGGAGATAAACAGCACAGCTCCTCTCAGCCTTTCTTTGTTATAATCCGTTCCTTCCACTCAGTATATTAGCTTCCCTCTTACCTTCTCCCTCATTAATGCTCTAGCCTTTACTCCATTGTATTCTTCTCTCTTCCATTATCGTTCTCTATAATTAACTCGGGCTCACCCAAAATTAAAGCCAAGACTGATGTCACATATCCTAGAAGTGCATGCATTCATCAAAGCACCATATTCCTCACCAGCAGTGCAGAATTCAATAATTTCGCTCCACTCAGACACAGAGTAGTCCCCATCAGCCTGTTTTGATGCAGTCTGGACAGCCACTGTGTACTCTGTGCGTGGGCTCAGGAACCAGTGGCCCCGGACCGTCATGGGCAGGGGTACTGCCTTGGCCACCAGTTTGGTAGGAACATCCTGGAGGGATGGAAGGAGTAAAAGAGGACAGAGTGGAATGGAAAAAGTGAGTGAGTGTTGGCAGGAAGGAATTAGTCAGAAAGAAACTCCTTATAAAGACACTTGTAGCCACTTGCTTGTAACCACACACATAGTTATATTACCCTATGTTACTGGCTGCAGGTAGCAGCCACGGCTTCTCATTTGTGTAAATGTAAACTATACAGTTCATCCCCAACAACAACCCCCCACAACCCAAAAATCAGTGGGCCATAGCAGCTCATTGATTGGACCAAGAGCCCCTGCCTAGCAACAGAGGCAGCCCATCAACCCACCGACACTGCTCCTGCGCCAAAATCAAAACATTAGTATGGGGTCGCCTGCAACTCCGGAGCAGAAAGGAGAAACACTCAGTGACACAGCACCAGCAGTGTGAGGAGGCTGATGACACAAGTCGGTAAGATTACCAAACCAGACTCTTGACTGCGTCGCGAACGAGCTGGCAGAGAAGGCTGTGAGAGCGGTACTAGCCTTTCAGAGCTCAAAGTGACAGCTGACCGTGGATTCTTTGAACAAAACCACCTTGAAATGAGTTCATCTTGCAAGCATGAAAAGGTAAGGTCGTCTTGAGGTAAAACAGCGTCAACACTAATCATTTCTGTTTACAGAGATCAATAATTAGCATTACACTAGATGTTTAGAGCACGGCAACATCTATCTAAAGCACTACTGAGTTATGATAATTAAGGTGAAAAGCTCATTCAACACCACTTCTGTCAGAAGTAGAAGAAATGTAGAATGAATTGAAGTTTCATCAAAAACATCAAATTGAGCAGAGTTTTTTTTTCTAAGCCACAGGTTTCTCAGAAAATTTGAATTTAATACTATAATTTAATTAACTGTTCATAAAATATGAATAGATTTATGTTTATGGCAGATTATAGAGTATAATTATTAAACAAGAATAATAATGGAAATGTACAGCAGTGGTTTAATATCTTTTAATAACTGTTGTGCAAAGTATTGCCTGTATTCATGCAGAACTATACAGCTGTTGCTTTCCTTTGTGCTGGCAAAAAATATGAATATACTGATTTTGTGTAACATGTGTAACAGCTGTCTTATATTGCTCATAGTTGCTGTTGCACACCTCTGGCCCGGAGACCTGCTTTTAAAAAAGGATTCAACCGAAAGGAAATGATTAGCTGGTTAAATAATAAAATGTAAAATTGCTTTTTTTAAAAATCATTTGGTTAAAGATACTCTTTGCTCTCTTCTCTTTCCCCCTCATCCCTCAGCCGGTCGTAGCAGATGGCTGTGCTGTGCCCCCCTGAGCCTGGAGTTGCTGAAATTCAATATTTGCTGCCTTTGCTATAACAACAGCACTGAAATCTTCAAATGGTATTTATGCGCCTCCCTTACTTGAGCATTACCTTGTGTTTGAACTTGTTTGAGTTTTTGTTCTCCTTCTTGTTCAGGTCAATGAAATAGTGTGTGATGCGCTCCTTGCTGCGTGCCTCCATGTCCCAGCAGATCTTGAAAGAGTCACAGGTGATGTTGCTAATCTTGATGTTCTGAGGAACAGGGAGCTCCTCCATCTCAGAGATGCTGCCGTCCTGGGATTTACTTCCTGCACAGTCCAGGAGAGGAAAAAGAAGACACCATAATGAAACGACATGGTTCAAATTTAGTCTAGAAATCCTCTGAATAAACATCAGGTTCTGGTTTACATTTAATACAATAATAGTTGTGTCTCCTAGCACTTAAATTATTTGATGATCTATGTCTGAAGACACATTGACCAGTGACAAATCATCATTATAACCGCATCAAGTCACCGCTATACCTAAACATATAGCAGGAATTATTCCACTGGCAGCACACTGGGTAATATAGCCACCATGTCACAGTCGCACACAAAAACCTGCTGCGTTACCGACTGCCATATACAGTGTGTTTCCATGGCAACACATCAGTCCCTCTACACATGTACACCTATCAGCTCTCCAGAACATATGCGCCATTAAATATTTTAAATGCTTGAATCCCCTCTCGTCTTGGCAGAGATTGGTCTGTTTATAATCAGTTTTAAGGATAAAACACAGCTGTCACAGTGTAGGCCCTGCACATAAGCCTGGAACCATAACATTTAAAATGCCAGTGAATGTCACAGAGGAGCTTTTTTCTTTCCTCCTTCTTCTTCTTTAACGGAGGCCCATTATGTTAATTTCCAAATCTATGTTTGTCATCTTGTGCACTATTAGACTCACTTTACATGACTAAAAGCGATCCTTAAATATCTTATTTATCCATCTTTGTTTTTCTGACTGGCTGCCCCTTTGGAAACAAAAGATTCCAGCAGGTGGGCGGGGCTTCTGTGCTCTAGGAAATAAGGAAAATGCAATTCTGGTTTAAGCTACATGATACATTTTCATACCCAGTACCTAGTGTATTTGGCTAAGACAAAAAGCTTCCATTGCTCTCATTCAAAGAAATGAATAAATCTCAATTTTATCCGAGCTGCATAGATGTCACGCACTATAGGCCACTGTAACATGTAGCAAAGGCTTTCAACCCAAAGTGCACAGAGAGGCTAATGAAATGTCAAAACCGGGTTGAATAAGAGCTTTGTAAGATTAGGATGAATATAGACTTTGCGTCACACTATGGGACGCCCACTTGGCACGGCAACAATGTGTTTTCTGTGTATGCTCTGGGGTCTAAACAAGAGTGAGTAAAATTCAAGAATGCGGTGTTTGGGAGTGATTCGAAACATGGTTGGATTCAATAGAGTGTCAACAATGGCAGAACCAGTGGAGCATAAAAAACTATCTCTGTTCATCAAATGAGAGGGAGCGAGATAAAAGACTAATCCTATAATTGGGAGTGTGGACACTCCTGCCTCACCTCCATACAACACTAGCAGTAGAGCATCGCTAGACTGATTCATTTTAAGAACCTTTTTTACCTTCTAAAATCATGACTTCTGACCAATTTAGAAAAAAAAAAATCCATTACAGGAACATTTATGTCCTTCATCACCACATCAAATCACACCAGACCAGACCCCCTACTTACTTTTGTCCTAATCACTAGTTTCTAATCACAACTAGCTGATTACCATCATCTTCGATTTAAAAAGACCTCCTGTTACACACTTGGGCAAAACTGTTGCTCATTTTAATTAAAACATAACACATGTTGTGGACTTTAGTGCAAGGATCTTTGCATGACTAAGTTATTGCATTTGGACATAACATTTATTATCTCTACCAACATGTCATGACCCAGACTTTTTTGGGACCTATGGGAAAATGATCCTGCATATGTAAATATGTAAAGATACCAGCAGTTAAATCATCACCCGATCCAGCATGACTGACTGCACGATCATGCTTGGCCCTACTGCGCTTCTTTGATTTGTGAAACCACCTCATCCTATTGCTTTTAAAGTCCATCTCATTATACTTAAACACACTGAGCTGATAGGTTTGGCTCAGACCAGACAGAGAGAGTGAACGGAAGACGTGACGACGTGGACCTTTGACAGAAAATGCTCCACCGAGTCAGCACAGAGCAGACAGTGATGTAAGCACATAAAGCTTACATAAAGTCCCACCTGAGACTTTGTTTGCTGACCTTTAACAGATTCAAGAAAACTACCAGGCCTGTTGTCATTCTCTGACATTCATGTCAGCAAAAGATGAAATATACCCCAAAGGAAGTGAAACAATGGCAAGGATTTCTTATAGATTTTCAAATGTAAAATGAAGCTTGCTTATAAAAAAAAAAATTACTGTGCAGATAAACAATTCTCTAATTCTGGCCACCTTCAGTATACAACTGTAAACATTAATCGACATCAAACATCAAAGATGAAAAACCTGCACGCTCACTCGCTGTGTTGTAGGTTGCTTGTCCTCTGCTCCCTAAATTGTTAATGTCAACATTGATGTTTTCACTAAAAACTAGACCCCATGCAGGTCTTTGCCCTCCCATCTCTCTGCAACTCCACAATACTGATTTACCTCGTTTACTCTAATGCTCTCCTAATTAACCTGCAGATGAAGAGAATTACACTGAGGCAGTGAAGCTTTCCAAATGCAGTCAGAAATCACCTACAGAACACTATTAAGGCAACTCAGTCACAGTAAAGGCTGTGCTATTAGGGAAAACGAGCTCTGAAAGCTGAAGGGAAAAGGAAATGGTACTAACCTGTGAAGAGGTATAGACATATATACGGACAATTGACAGGTTAAAAGGAGAAAAAGGTGAAGTTTGGCTTTGAATTGGTTAGTTTGAAGAGTGACGTGTGCAAAATATACAAAAACAAAAAACCCCAAAAGAGGCTAAAATGAATAAATGATATCTAACTGATACCAGCTAATCTAGCTAATCTTGTGTTCACCAGCTTTGTTAGAGCCAGTGTTAAGCTCAGGTCTGAATCCTCTGGGGCTGCAAGAGCACAAGACGAATGATGAACGCCAAACGGGATGAAGATGGCTTTGCTTAGGAAGACCAAAACCTCCTTCCTTTTTAAATTAACGTGCTATGTTTGATGCCAGCGTTCATTTTGCTGAATCATAATTTTTTAAACACAATATACTGTAATAAGCCGCTGTTGTTTTCTGTCGATTTACTCCATTTCCTTATGCTGTTTATTAGGAGGGGGTGAAATTTTTCTTGATCTTTATCAAGCAAGACAAGAGTCTGTTTTGGAGCAAATGCTTGAGAGCTTATGAGCACAGATTACTCATGCTGTGCACATATGCACCGGGAGTTCAAAATAACATGCAAGATCTGTAGATGCACAGCAGAGCACCAAAGAGCAGGCCACGAAAATATCAGCCCTATAGAAAAAAACAAAAGCAATCTTAAAAGATGAAAAGCCTCAGACGAGTTTAAGAAATGGACCATATTGGTTATTGCCCTTTTACTGTGCAAACAGTCGAATGCCACAGGGAAAAGCAATAGTGCAGAAGGATCAATATAAATCTTGTTAACATGCATACATGGAGCCATTCTAATGGCTCTTTATGGTGGGATTTGTTCCAGTCACACCTGCCTCCAAATTATAAATTACTTGTTGGCGCTCTCTACCAAAGAGGAAAGTGATTTGATTTCCATTTAGACCATTTAAGCAATGTAAATGAACTCTCTTGGTGGTTGGAGTTTCCATGATGTGAGACTACATTATGCTTCCATTTGAAACTTCTTGAATTCAAAACAAATAAACTTTCAATCAAGTTTAATGATCAAAAAACAAACACATTTCTGAGCCCTGTATGTCAGATTATTGTTTCTGAGTGCACAAGGAGGTACTCAGACAGACAAGCCTCCTACATTTTAAGTTGCAGCGCTCGATGTAAAATTGATCTGCAGACATGAGCAACACAACAGACACTAGGCATAGATGCTTGCAGTACTTTAAAAAAAAAACCCTAAATCACGCCTTTGTTCTTCTCAATGCACAGGCTAGACCGAGACAGATCATGCTGGGAGTGAGAGAAGCTGCCAACGGAAAAACATCTTTCTCTCAGAGTGAGATAAACAATGCCCCGTTCATCAGGTTACGCAGTCTATTTTCCACCTTTTAGACATCAGTAAGCCCCCGAACACCAAACAAAGATGAGTAACGATAATTTAATAATGCAGTCTTTAGTTAAGTAGGTTCAAAATCAACAAAATCAATACAGAGGGTTTTTTTTAAAGACTTTTCAGAGACCAGAATGAATCATCAGTGCTCATTTGCACAGAATATGAATCTCCAAATCTCAGACTTGTGTTTTTTTACATTTCATGTTTTGACTTTCTGCAGCGAGGGATTTTTGTATACCAGCAGTGAAAAAAGAAAGGAGTAGAAAAATAAGCATGAATGTTTGCAGTGGCTTTTCAAGGTCAGACGCCACTGTAGAGTGGTCAAGTGCAAGCGAATATGTTATACGGTCAATAAGTGACTGCATAATATGTACCTCCAACTCTTGCCAGCACAGTCATGAGACACAACTGCTCACAGTGAACACAGCCAAACTAAAATGCCAGCTTACTCAGATGACGCTGTATGACATAAGGCAGACCTGCTGTTGTATCATGTTGATACATACTGGATACGCTTTTCCGTGTGCCCACAGAGTATTTTTTAATCACAGGAGTCTATAGCCATTCTAGCAGATGTGAAAGACTGGAGCCACGCACCAAAATTAATTTAAATGGATGGCTGCACTGTTCGAGTGAGTGTGTGTAGGAGAAAAGGCCATAGAGAAATGGCTCTGCGGGAGTGTTTTGACTAGAAATTGTTAGTGGATGTAGCTTTGATTCCGAGAATATGTCTGTATGCTACTTTCACTCATTGGCTCCAGCCCTGCTCGACTGTGACACAGCATGTTTGAGCTAATAAAAAAATGAACATAATGAAACTTTATATCTTTGTTCCTATTTTCAATTGATCATTTTAGTATTCTGAAATTTACTGTTAGCAGTAAACACATGACTGGTGATAATGTCAGTAATTTCAAAAAGGGTTTGTCAGCTGTTGGAATAAGAAAAAAAACATTCAGATGATTGAACTAGAAAAAAAAAGAAAAAAGAAATTGCTTGATTTAGGAGGACAACAGCTATCTTTATAAAGACTTTCAGTCCTTCACTGCCAGCTTGATCTCAGAACAATTTCATGATGTTCTCAGGTCCACTGTCAAGGGATTAAAAATGCATCTATGTATTGACTTATCAGTGCACCAGTCCATTCTGGAAATGCGCATGCTAGTATGTTACTGCTGTTTCAGAAAGATTTCAAAGAGCACAGTCACACTGCTTGGTTGCATTAATAGCAGCCATCCATCATGGCAACTTCATCACATCAGCGGGTATGGCACAAAGGCCATGTGAGACATGCAGCGTGGATTTGATTACATTCTGCAAATGCGTATTAACTGTGGATATAAAATCAAAATGGTGCTCCTTGTCAGCCTTACAGGGGTTGGTGACAAATTTATCCAGCACAGCATCGTGGGAGCGATCCACAGACTATGGGGAACACCAGCAGACAAACTCTGCTCACATGAGCTGATGCTGTGACTTGTACTACTCTTCATTCTCAGCAAAACTTGCCCCACACCCACCTACTCATGTCACAGCCCCATCACTAAACTGAACCATTAACACCCCGTCTAAAACTGGACACACAGAAACGACTTGTGTCCGACCATTCCTTTTGTGCACTGAAATTCCCAAACAGTCTTCACTGTGTTGGAGAGTGCCCTTTCCCCACAGACAGTAAGCCTACTGAAGCTATATGCATCCATCTGCTGGGTCAGCATAGGCATAGAAGCCTCTCATCTGATAATTAAATATTAATGATTTGGAAGATAAATTTAGAAAGCCGTGGAACAGTGAAATGAATGCGGACCTTGAGAAAAATGTACGCACTGATTGGATAAGATAACAATCCATTTCCAGGAAAGGTAAAAGTGAGTGATCCAGTCTTTTAGAAAGGGTGTGGCTGGGACAGTGCAAACTATATAATATAATATAATAAAATAAAAGGCTCAGGTGATAAAATTCAGAGACTGGTCAAAATCTACAAACCATTCTTAAGAAAAGAAAGAAAGAAAGTTAACCAAACAAGCTGAAATCTGTATTTTTACATATGTGCTCCACTTTAATGTGGCAACACTAAATATTTATGGGAGTATGAAGATAATCTGCACAAACACCCATACATAAATTGTTTTTTCTAATCTCTTCATGAAGTTCAAGTTTTGTCCACGGTACTCTGGGCGTTTGTTCCTATCAGACACATAAACAGTTTCAACTAACCCATCGACAATACTTGTACAAGAACAACTACTTGTCCTGAAGAATTTGCACAGAAGGTGGACATTGTCACTGTGTTGCTTCATAAACAGAGAGTATGTGGGTGTCTCAAGGACACACACGGATAATATTTACACTGAGTAACCTGCTTGGAAACTAAGAAAGTGGCTGTTTTGGCTCAGCAGTAAACCTGCAACACAGAAAGCACAAAGGCTAGCACAGTGATCATTTGAAACGGGCTGCATCGGCGTATATACCGTTTAGAATCAGCTCTAAGGGGTATACACGCTGGCAGCTAAAAGATTTTACAGTGACCGAGGAGACTTAATAAAGATACATCACTGACACCTTGGATGCCCTAACCAGCCTGTATACACATACAAATCAATCTGGCATAGCTGCGAAGGAAAAAAATGAACCCAATTACACAATGAAAAGGTGTGATCATATTTCATGTGAATTAATTTCCAATCTTAATTAAGAGGCACCTCTGTGATCAGGAGTCTTGCCGCAGATGTGGAATTAGCGCTGTGTAATTGCACTGATGGGTGTGTAGGGCTGCACCGCCTGAGAACACATGTGGGTGCAGCCATGTTTCTGTCTCTCATTCTCTCCTGATGATGACTTGCCTTTTTTCTTTCCCCACCATTAAATTCGCGTCGGGGTTAAGCCTCTTCGCGCAGCTATACTTGTCAATTTTCGCATTACGAGCCTGGTTTATGAAGCCTCGTTTTCTATGATGGGAATAGTTTCAGCTCTTCGTTTAATGATAAATAGTCGGAAAACTTTTGATTCGAAGAAGTGAGCCACAGACAACACACAGCACGGGCGCAGCTGGAAGACTTGATGAATTATAAACGTGAGCGCAGGGGAGACTTTTATGGGAACCGGGGGTGGGATAGAAACTAAAGAGCGTCTCGTTTGTAATTATAAAATTTGCAGGATGACATGCAGTAAGTGAGCATACATGGGAAAAGGCAGCTCCTTTGGAAGATGGAAGAGAATTAGCGATTAAAGGCGGGGTGGCAGCCGGCCTCTGTCCATGTCTGTGGTGCTGAAATCAAGACACTCATCATTTAGACTAAGATTCCTGCTTCCAAGTTAAGCAGTACACATTCGTTTTGAGTCAAGACCTTATTGCCACTGTAAAGACGCTCAGCTATTCCGAGCACGCACAAGCGCACCATCCATTCATCCATCCGAGGAACCAGCTGCCCCTATTACTTCCACACAATAAGGGTACAGCACGCAGAGACAAACACTGACAAACTGACTGCATGCCTGCAGCGACTCCGAAACTAACAAAGCGGCCTAATGCACCGGCGTTATGCGGAGATATGTCAGCACCCCAGTGAGAAGCAGACAATCCTCCCCTTACCATCTCGTTCGCATAACTGTATGGCGTCCAAGCTTAGGTCCTTGATCATCCCCTCGCAGGGACTTAATGGACTGCTGATGTTGTGCGCCAAACCTGGTACCTCCATCTCTGCAGAAGAGCCTGGATGATGTTAGTAGTTTAAATTTCGTCCACGGGTTTTGCACAGCAGAAGGCGTCCGTCCGCGGTCGTTAAGGGGTGGGAAAAGAAAGAGAAAGAGAGACTGGTGTCCAGTCAGTCGCTCGCAGCTCTCCTCTGTCTCTCTGGGGTGGTGCGGCTATTGGCGCGTCAGCGGAATCGTCACGGGCGCGAGCAGCACACGCCGCCAGTTGCAAAATGAGGCATGGCAGCTTTTGCGGGGATCCGTGAACGTATATCACTGTATGTATTTATCTGGTTTCACACGCTGCCAAAAGCAGAAGAAGCTTCTGAGCCTTCTGAGCCACAAGTGTGCGCGCGCGCCCGTCCTGTATGTTACGCCGCCGCGGGACAGTTGAGCATGAATAGTTCAGCAGATTAGCGCAGAGATGTTCTGGAAATACAATGGCTTCTTATGTAACCAGATTAGCTCGGCGTTCCTTCTCCGCGTTAGGTCCCTCATCTAAACGGTCCACGCGCTCCCGTTCTTCCCCATTTCACGTTTAACGTCATCCCCAACGAGGCTCTCACATGTCCTTATTTGGTGAGGTGTAGTCCCCTTTTTGTGCAGGAGCGCAGGTGCAAGTGGTCCAGGCGGTAATGAGCAGTGGGACGACTCTGACATGCTGCAGGACATAACGAATGACCAGGCTTACCTCTGCTTTTCCATTTAGGTGACGAATCCTCTCGCTCTTTAGACATGTTGGCGCATAATAACATGCAAAGCACTGTGAGTTCATAGCCAGAAAACCACACTTTATACTGGGTGTGGGTGTGTAATTATCTCCATTAGACCTCTACACCCTTTTTTATCAGTGCCTCCCAGGAACCGGAAGGTCAAGTGCAGGCGTAGACCACACTGTGGCTAAGCAAGGCTTCAGGCTGCCTTTAATAACAGCATTTGATTATACAGAAGTTGTGGCTCATCATCATGGAGTCATTCTTATTCTTATATCTCCTAAAGCAGTCTTCCCTCGTCTCCATGCTCTACATGGGAGCATCAGACTGAGGAGGTGTCACTTGCTGTTTGTTTTTGTTCAAGTGTTATACAAGAAGCCCGAGGAGAGGCCAGAGTGCTTATCTATTCAGCGGACAACGGATTCTGCAGCTGCGTCTATTCCCCCTCCTGAGTCATGGTGCTCAAAACCACAAAAAGAGGGAGGGGGTGCAGTGAACCGTATAGAGGAGAGTCACCCTAACTCTTCTGGGGAAACACACTGTCACAACATCATCATCATCATCTCTGAAGTTGAGACAAACAAGAAAAATTGTAGATTAACAAAACTAAAAAGGGGGAAATAAAAGAAAAAGCCGACTGTTTTCATGTTGCAGTTTAAAATGTTTGATTTGCCTGCAGGAAAGTAATTGGCTTGCGTTTTCATGCAGCTTGAAGGATTAAAAAATGGGGTTATGGCGGGCAGGCAAATTAAAGTTCTGATAAGCTCATAATCACTGTGGCATTCAGATTCAGTAGGAAACATATAAGGCGCACCACTAAAGCCTTGAACATATTCCACGCTTGGATTCCACTAAGGCTCACATTTCCTGCCAGGGATACACAGTGCATTTAAGGTAAAGGTCAGCATCCTGATCACTCCCTGCAAACACACTGCAGTGTTCTGGGGAGAAGATGCTGCCACATTCACCTTAAAAATTTTAATTGGAGTTATTTTTAGTATGCCTTTAAGTGGATGAAAGCCATGCGTAACATTATATATTTGCTATATGACATGACTTGACAGTTGCCCCCCAGCTGTGTAAAGAGCATTACAGATGGATTAACACTGCATTTGTTTAAATGCCCCCCCACACCCCACTGGTTTCAGAAACCAGATCATTGAAAGTCCATGTGCAGTGACTAAATCATAAACAAAAACAAGTAGAGCACACCTAATAGCCCTAAATGCACAAGCTTCAAAAAGCCTAATTGCTATATGTCATCATCAATTTCCCTTTGTTGCCCTGTCTCCCTCCCCCCACACCTCTTATGTCCCTCCACTGCCTGCTGTGCTGATCTGCTTTGAGAGAGGAAGAGCAGGATGGGGAGGGGGAGGGATGAGGCTGACCAGTTCTGGAGGATTCCTTCTCATTCTACCTCCATCCATCCTTACCGCCACGCCATCTCTCCACCCACCAATATCCCCTACAGGGTGAGTCGTCCTGTGTTAGCATCAGTGTTTCCAGTAGAGCTGCAGGAGGATGAAAGAAGGCAGTGTAACACACACACACACACACGCACTGCCAAATCTTTTCCCCTTTCTTGTTCCTTTACTAACATTCTTCCTTTAATGCTTTTGCCTCTTCAGTTCTATTTTGTCAGTTGTCTACCATTTTTTCCTCTCGTTTGTTTTCTCATTTTTCTGCTCCACTCCAAATCTTGCAGTGCCATGCAGTGTATGTTTGTGTGTGCACACTATAGGCCATAGTGTACACTGTATTGGCAGTCCACTCTCATTTACTCCCTCTGCTGTGTTTAGAGGCCAAGTGAACACACAGTGGCAGATGGAGAAATAGCGGGGAGAAAGGTGCAGTGAGAAAACAGATCAAATAGGTGTGAAGATTTTGAAGTGATAAAGAAGGCGGAGCGATCCATATGCAGACGTCTCTATAATTATATTTAATGCCTCTGCATCTTTTGTCATCTCTTACACAGCTGCATACACACAGTCTCAGAGGTCAGTTAAGAGGCAGAATATGGAGTACATGGGCAGAGCATTTTACATTTGCAGAAAACAATACCAAGTCACCACTGTGTGTGTGTGTGTGTGTGTGTGTGTGTGTGTGTCACATCATACCACAAAGACATTTATCTGGCGTTTCAGGGCAGCAAATGAAGCATGTCATTGATTTACAGTGTGAAGTCTGGCCTCGGTGTAGCTGCAGCTTGATTGATAATGGATCTGTGCTTATGTGTGTGTCTCTGGGGGCCCAGTTCAATTCCACTTTATCTAAGATTATATGAAATTCAAATGAAGTTCATTTATACGCCGAAAGGCCACAATGAAATCAGGGGAGACCAATTAAAAGCCGGGTCCAAATGTTATTAATAAAATGAATTAATTGGGTGAGCAATGCAGGATAAGCATGAAGGAAAATAAGCTTATTTGTTTTGCTGAAGATCTTCGCATGAGGAGGATAAACATGTATAGCTGCAGAGCTAGAGGCTCATTAACTATAGCTTAACACAAAGACTGGAAACAGGGAAGAGCAGCTTTCCTCCCTCTGACTGAAGAAAGAAAAACCCACCTATCCTCGTCTATAATGCTCACAAATGCAGTCATATTATTTTGTTAATTTAACCAACAATGCCCATATTTCAAGGCATGATTGTTTTTTGACTTTCACATTATTATGCCAATGTTTCAGCTTGTTAGTTGTCTTTTTATTTCCGTTTGTATGGAATAAAGTGTAAACAAATGAGCATAAATGTGTTGTTTACTGAGGTGCTGCCAAGTGGGTTGGTTGTGCTTTGTTATCAATGCTTTCCAGGAATGACAATTTACAACCTTTAAGTGAACCAAACTAAAAAAACATAACAGAAATGTTATTTGTATAGGACCTTTCAGGACTAATATCACAAAATCCTTTACAACAAAATACTAAAAACTTAAAATAGATTTTTTAAATTGGTGAAAAACAGCCAGTTTCTGCAAGGAAAACTTTGACAGACCTTCAAAAATCCTGGAGACCTATTGCTCAAGACCACTTCAAAAAATACAATTTAGTCTGGCTTCTTAAAGCAAAGTAGAAAGAAATGGTCTTGTGACAGTTTTCAACATCGGTGATGCAGATGCTCTGACATACCGGTCACTTTATATGATGGAGAATGAGCTCACAGAAAAAGAGCTAGACTTATCAGGCACCGTGAGCATAATGTCCACTGGATAAGAGCCAGATATGGTGAGGTAGCAACCGAGTCACAGCTACTCTAATTTACACCTTTCCTGCAGAGGCAAGCTGCCCATGAGAACAATATGTGAAGCTGTGGACTCTGTTGGTCTTTTGACGGGGATGCTGCCAGGATGCTGAATAAATGCAGGGTTGGTTAGTGATAAAAAAAAAAAAGACTTCTTTCTCTGCAATTTAGCTGTCCCTCTCGCACCCTGTCTCTCACAATAGCACATGAAATTGAAATTAGTCACGCTGGGCAAAGGGAATGATTGCCGACTGTGCTGCACACACAACTACCCATAGTGCAATTGAATAGACTGATATTTTGCAACTAATAGCTTTTCTCTAGAGCTCTAATATCCTTTATGAGATTAAATGTAGGTGAATTTGTTTCTGCTGAATCCAGATACATTCTCTTCATGATGGGACCATTTTCTTAGATAAGACCTAGATTTAATTATAGGTGTGATCCGTTTGTCATGTCAGCAATTGGCAGCAGACGGCAAAATGAATGTTTTCATAACATCCTTCCTACACATTACCCCGTGAGTTTCTCACTTGTACATACCAGTATTTACATCCCATTCAATATTGTGATGTTATAGAAACCACAGGTGCTTTGTAAAGCACCTGTGGAAATTGATGACAGAGGAGGAGAAAGTGAACGAGTCACAAGCTGCCACGGACCATAGTTCAGTGGCACCACCTGTTAAAGGGCTCATTTGAGATGGATGAGTGACTCCCTCTGACTATGTGGCGAACAGCTGAACATTAATTTGCTGCCATAATCAGAAGAGAGGCCTGGAGATGTTTTTTTGGAGCAATAAAATAAAAACGACTGAAAACTGAATCACTTTCCATATGTCAGGTAATATACAGCACTTTGGGAATATGCAAACAGCCACAGGCAAACGCATCATTTTCTTTCAAGTTTGGACATTTCCCAAACTAACTTCAAAATAACAGCTATGATATGTATTAGAGGTGGCGAATGACAATGTGCTGTGCTGCAAAGAGTCTCTCACGAATAAAATGCTATTTTTATAATTTCTTTACATTTTATAATCTGTTGCTGAGTAACCATTTTCCACGCTTTACTTGGGAAATGTCATTTTCAGTGACAATACTGCCCCCTTGAGGTTTTCCCTCTGCAAAGCAAAAACAGTTTTTCTAATCTTCTCATATTGACCAAGAAGCATCATCACTGCTGACTTTGTGACTGAGATCTCACAAAAACCCATATTTTATTTCACGGATGTGAACAGTTTTCTGGCAGTTAGTCGTGCAGAAATGTATTATTACTTTCATGCAAAACAAAGAAAATAAATTCTGTCCCCATACTACATTAGCCTGTTTATAAGGAGAGAAGACAACTTTAAATTTCTTCTCAAGTGTGTCTTGTACTGCAAATCCTCATTGGTTATAGATTCATTTTGTTGGATTAAGCAGATGCTGTGCAGGTTAGACATCATGTAAGCACATTACCCTCAAACTGCAGTATGCAAATGTGTTTTTGAATGTGTCTTTACACAGACACACCAAGTGATTGCAGAATAGTGATGAAGGATTACTTTCAATTCAATTTATATAGCTCCAAATCACAACAACAGTCACTTCAGTGAAAGCACTTGGTGACAGTGTGAAGGAAAAACTCCCTTTTAACAGGAAAAATAACTTGAGCAGAACCAGGCTCAGGGAAGGGCAGCCATCTGTCATGCTGGGTGTGAGGAGTGGGAGACTGTGTTGAAGAGAGTCAGAGAATAACTAATGATGCAATGCAAAGTGGTGGATAAACAGAGTGAAAAGAGCTGGATAAACAGAGTGAAAAGAGCTGATCAAAGAAGAAAGACTTGGTGCACGATGGGAAGCCCCAATGAGCCTAGACTAATGCAGCATAACCTAACTGAGGGTTCAGCGTCACCTAAACCAGGCCTAACTATTTTAAAACTTTTTTTTAGCCTACTTTTAACTAACTTCAGCTGGTCAAAATTACAAATAAAGTATGTATCCAAGGCGGATGAGTAAAACTCCTTTTTGTCAACATAAATCTCTTAATACAAGATAAAAAAGTGCAATTTCTTTATCTTTCTTTATAAGGAAGAAAGATAAAGGTTTTCTACATTTTCTATATGCAGTTTCTTTATCTCAGGTTTTCTACATGACTGTAAAATACAGAAAAAAGTTCTGGTAGCTCACTGTCCAGACTGTCCCATTTTTATGAAATGTTTTTTTTAATTTACAGATTATTATTATTATTTTTTTAAACTCAAACGTCTATAGTTGATCAAAGGAGCTTGCAAAGAAAAGCGTCTGGACTTATTTAAGTTACTTGAAGACGTTTCACCTCTCATCCAAAAAGCTTCTTCAGTTCTGAAGAAGCTTCTCGGATGAGAGGTGAAACGTCTTCAAGTAACTTAAATAAGTCCAGACGCTTTTCTTTGCAAGCTCCTTTGACTACGATGACCTGGATGACTGAGAACCTTCACAGACGTCTATAGTTGATTTAAAAAAACAAAAACAGTAACTTTATGTAATTTGTTTATCTATTAGTTAATTACTTTGGTTTAGTATGAATGGCTGTGAGGAACTCTCCATCAGCAGGAAAAGTTTTACAATTTATCAAAATACAGTTAAAAGTCAAATTTTTTTCCTAAAGCCTTCCAGTGTGCTGGATTGGAGTCTTTGCAAGGTCGATTCTGGCCCTCGGGCTGCATGTTTAACAGCCCTTTTCTAGAAATACTGCACTGATACTGTGCGCCTGGACAGCCTGGTAGCTTCAGACTTGAGAAAGTTTCAAAACTCGACATTTCTGTCTTATGTGGGAAACAAAACCAAAAGGCGCTTTTGTTTGCATACATTTATTACCTTCATAATATCATTTGAATGTTCGAACAAACATTTTTTTTTGCCTGCTTGACAGATTCTCTGAAAAGTTTATATCTGTACTACAATACAGTTAGAATAACAACAGCATCAACAGATGCCACAGTGAACAGAGCGTTGACCACATGGCAATGTTCATGCACGAATCCATCTCTGGAATATGGTGCAGAATTGTACGTTCCTCACGCAAAAACAATGACTGTAAAAATGAAAAGTTGTACAAAAGTTATGTTATACATCATTTCCTTAGTGGTTTACATTTACATTATAAATGTACCATTTGATTGCAGTACAAAGATTCCTTCAAATAAATCCCTTTGGGAATATTAATATGACTAATACAACAAATCAAAGACATAATTGTGAAACTATTCAATCAAGGGCAAAGACTAGGCAAGCTAGCAGTAAACCTTTTGACTTGGTGAGTCCCTTTACTGATCTGTGATCAAGCTGCAATAACACGCATCATCAAGGCAATATATATAAATTTGAAACATTCACTTGATGAGACAAGAACCTCTATTGCCCTCCGAGCAAACACATCCAAAAAAAAGTGAAGGATGAAAACAAATGTCTGCTAGGCAGGAACACGAGTCACAGCACTGGGAGAATCAGTGCTCAACATTATTTATCTATTTTCTTTTTAATGTAGTACCATGTGGAGCAAAAGCAGCTCCGGGTTTCCTTGTAGAATAAAGAATCCCTTTCTACATTAAGCTTTAGCCTTCTTCATCTTCTTTAAGACTTCAAAAAACAAAACAAAAACAAAACAAAAACAAGAATTTACCTGGTTTGCATAAGCAACCATGTCAGAATATCACTTAGTGTAGTGTTACTAACTTGACAACCACATTGAGAATGGCTCAAGTCAGATAGGATAGGATGCGAGATAGGACGGAAAAGTGGTTAAAAATGAGGGTGTTAAATCGCTGTAAATTAAAACAAAAAAGTGATAAATGATCAACTTCTTTGAAACGATACGAGGATTGCTGCTGCTGTCTGTCATAATTAAATCTGCTGAGATAAACGTTTACGCACTTGCAGTGATAATTTTTCAGAAGTGTCTTGTACATACTTTAAGAGTTTATACAGGTCTTGTTCATTTAAACTAAGAATATTACTCAGTCTTAGCTTTTAAACCTACTGTACTGCAAATATAAACAAAAAGGAAAAATGACTTCACAAAGAGGCTTTGAATTGCACTTGAAAAAAACGCTCCCATCATTGGAAGATGGATGTTCTTGTAGTTTAAATGCTCAGACATATTTTAAGAACATTACACAAAAAACATTTGAGTTATCCAAAGTTAATGAACTGCTGGAAAAAAGGATGTTTTCCTTTTCAAAAAACACATGACTGAACATAATCCAGGGCTACAGAGCAAACACAAGCTCTGGTGATAAACACTGCCGCTGCATGCATAATTCTGTTACTTTATTAAACACTGCTTAACCAGGTTTTGGGGATATTAGATTACATGACTGATAGTAGAAAATACCAGATTTTTATTTGTTTTCATCTTAGATCTCGCAGTCCTTCTGGTGACTTTAGTTCTCTATTTGTGTCTCGCAGAACTATTCATATGAGCCCATGTTGGCTGTGGGAAAACTGGTTCTTTGTGTGATGGCACTTCCTATCTGGAAAGTAAGGTCAGAACAAAATATTAGTGTTCTTAATGAAATTTCTTCCTGCTGAAAAAACGAGTTATGGATATTGGCACGTTTCACTATTAAAGGCAAGGCCTTGTTCTGTTAACAGGCCTCCTCTCCTTGCTCTAGCTGAAACTTTAAGCTAACAGAAAGATAAAAAAAGTTTCAGATGCACAGTAGACCAGATTGGAAGATTTAAGGCGCATGGAAGGGGCCACAGAGAGGCCATGACCGGCAAAAAAGATAAAACAAAAGACCAAGTACTATAAACAGAGAAGAAAAACCACAGAAAATTGCCTGTTGACACAATCAAAGAGGCCTACAAAGCTTTGCCTAACTGTCTCACATCTCTGCTGCTGTCTAATGGCACAGCCATGCTATGGCTCCAGAGACTAAAGGGCAGGAAGTAAAACTAAAACTTACAAGCAAACTAATTACAAAAAACAAAAAAAAATAATCATAGACGCTCATTCATGAAAATATAAAAAAATACATATGTAAACCGATTACCAATAAACATTCCACTCATTTGCCTAAGATGGTAATAAAAACTAAAAAATAAAATCATAATGCAAAATGAATACAAAATACTTATTTTTGTCTCGTCTAGAAAGAGAAACCGATGCTCAACACAAACACTGATCTCGGAGGAATGTCCACCAATCGAAACACTGAAGGAGTCAAAGGTCACAATGAGATTTACTTTGGTTTATGTGTTAAAGTTGATCAAGTCACCGCTTAGGTGCGCTGACCTATTATTACTTCATTTGGTGCTGTGCTAATGTCACTGGTTAAGTGCTTACTTTTGGCTTGGTAGAAAATGCATCTGTGCTTTAAGTCAATAAAAAAATGCATAGTTTCATTTCAATCTAAGGAATAAGGCTCTCACAGGCAAAAATCTAGTATTATTAAAGTGCATGTCACTGATACAAGAGCATAATACAAATGCAGGTAGTACCAATGTGTAAAATGATGTACTAATCATTCTGCCTGTTCCCTTGAACAAAAAGTGGACAGAAATACTGGACAGAACCAAAACCACACCCTTCATATATAAATGCTCAACAAGAGACTAGTGGATTTATAAGGCAATAACACTGAACTTCATGTATCTGAGAAATCCCTTTTTTGTTGTTGTTGGCACTTCAGGTAAAACTATGGCTTTTAAAAAAAAAAAGTATTTATAAATGAGCTATATGGCAATGCAACTTTGCGAACAGTCTCAATTCAGCTGAAGCTGAAAAAGGGTAAACAACCACTGAAACCTAGACGCCACTCTAAGATGCTGGACTCTGGTCTTCTTTATGGACGGTTCTCCGCTGACTGGAGCTCTGGAGGCGCCTACCATCGCCCACTGACGCTGGCCATCTCAGCGTGAAACTGGCGGGAGAGGCGGCCGCTTGCCCCCCCTTCCAGGAAGGAGGACCTGATGGGTGGCTCAAATAGTTTCCTCCGGTTCTTGTTTAGTTCTGTGGGCAGGAAAAAAAAAAAAAAAGATAACCGCAAAACATCAGGAGCAGCAAAGGTGATACAAACATAGTGTTTAATGTGGGGTAACTTCCATTGTTGCGATGGGAATTGCAGCAAATCAAAGTAAAAATAAATATAACCGTGGAGAATGTTGCCATGTCTCTGCAACCTTCACTGATCTACAGTGACAAGAAAATTGGATTCAAAGCACTACAGAATTGCTCAGATCAACAAAACCCCTCTTTGTGTCCATCTGTTTTTACACAGCAGTTTGGACAAAATGATTTCATAAAAATGTGTCAAGAACACCCTGGCATCTCTCAGTTATTCATATGATAGCCGCAGTCTGTCGGTGCCAGCATAAACCTTCAGTATGATTACTGGAGACAGGCAGCTCGCTCCAGCAGCTCTTTTTACTGGCACACCAGCAGGAAGTTAAAACCTGGATTGCCTTGACTGGTATTCTATCTTTTTATGAGAAGCAAAAACACAGAAAGACAGACAGAGATGCGCAATATGCAGTTTTCAAGCTCTAGAGTCGGTCAGCGGAGATGAAAGTTGACCTCGACTTGGCTGAGGCGACAGGCAGCAAAACCGATCCTGGCCTTGGATCCCTCTGCTTCCTTAATAATCATAGTGCTGACCTCGACATTTCCCCTCATTGCCCTCGCTGTCAACCCTGACTCTGGTCAGACGTTTGTGAACTGAACATTTAAACAATAACCATGACAGGAAGCTCATGATCCCAACACAGACACGATTAACTCGTGCAGGCTATTATAATGTCAGTAATGAAGTGTGACGCCCACCACATTCACATTAGATCAAGTGTAACAACAGGGAAGAGTCTGCATCAGCATGAGACAGGCAGCTGGAGCAGCTGGGAAAATACCGAAACACTCATCGGAGAAGAATATGCTTGAATCCCATTTATTGCTGCTGCTGCAAATTACTGCAGCATGTCCTCTCAGAAATTTGACCAGTTTAACTTCTATTCTGGCATGCTGACAACAAGAACCACCTATGAACTTTGAGATATGAACTTATTATTTATCTTTTGGACTGCTGGGATCCACTCCGACAAAACAATAAACATAAAAAAACCCATTAATGAAACTGCCTTCAGCAAAGGTGAGCTGGCAGAATGAAGCTTGTGCTGGTACGAGTGATTATCGGCACAGGAAAAGACCAACGCGGGTATCTCTGCGTTGTTATGCAAATGTTTTATTTGCAGTGTCATGCAGCTGACAGCACAGAGGCAACGAAAGATAAAAATTTTTTTTCCATACCCGAGATAGCGAGCAGCATTTTCCTACGGGCACCAAAGGTGGTGATTCCCAGTTCCTTCAGGTCCTGGTCTGTGAGTGTCAGGAATGTCTGGAGGTCAATCTAGAAGCAGCAACGAGCCAGTTTAACAACCTTAATCTAGAAAAGATCTTCAAACATAAATGTCAAGACTAATGGTCATGTACATAATATCCTCCCTGCCATGCAAGCAGCAATATTTGATGTACGAATGCAATTCCACAGCTTGTTAAGGAAAAATTAATTACAGGGGGAACTATGAATGTAACGTAGCAACAACAAATAATGACAGGGATATTTCACTTTGGACTGAAGTAATGGTCTGGCACACCCACACTTCCATCCTTACAGTTAAACCAGGGAAGACGATGAAAGCTTGCGCGAAAAAAAAGTTGGTTCAGAATCAGGATTACCTCTTGTTGCTGGAAGACGTCCGTGTACTTCCCCAAGCCCAGTTTGCTGAAAAGCTCGGGCAGGTCTGAGCCTTTCAGAGACGAATTCAGGCTGCAGCCGTTTGTGCCCGTTACTGATGAAATAGAGTCCATGTAGTTGCTGCTGCTGAGGAAATGTTCTGCAGCTACACGACAGTTTAAAAAGAGACATTTCTTTCATTCAGTCAGGTAATGAAACAATGTTTAGCTTAAAGAGATGAACATTTGGACCATTTTGACTGAGACCATCTGTTCTGCAGATTAACTAGACTGGCAGCTTCACTAGACTTTATCTAACGTGCCAACCCTGAGTGCTATATTGAGTAGGTAACTGATTACTCTTACAAGCAAAACCATCAAATTCAGAGGCAAGAGTGCTCACAATGACATTTTAAATGTGGTTTGTATCTTTATCTTGTTCTCTTTCATTCCATTGTTAATCAGCATCATTATTTGAAGACAAAAACAACAAAAATTTACTGACCGGATTTGTTCTGTTTCCTCTTTGGGCTGCTGACGGCTGAGGCGAACTCTGTGTGGCTTGCTAGGCCGTTGCTGGTGCCGTTCCTCTCACGCCAGTTGTCAGAGTCACTCCCGTTCCCCACGCCTTCCCGGCTGCTGGATCGAGACAACGACAGTGGGGAACCCTGAGGACCAAAAAGAAACAAGTTTAGACTGAATTCTGTACATCCCAATACAGAGCACAAACGTCTGTCGACTAAAACAACAGTCAGGCAAATAATGTTTCTTATAATATACACAATATCAGTAAATGCTAAGATATTGAACATATTGATCACGATAATGAAAGTTAAACACTTTCATTTATGTCTGACCTCGTATGTCGTGCTCATGCTGGGTTTGTATGAGACGTGATTGGCTCTCCTTAGCTCCTTGATAGTCTCAGCTGGCATGGACTTTGAGAAGCCCAGACCACTCCAGGTGTTGGTCGGAGTGCGCACCTCAGTCACTACTGGCTTCTTCAACATAGCTGTGCGATACAGAAAAGCAGTGATGCAAATATGTTTCTATAAAAGAATTATTGGGACACCAAATAATATTTAGTGTTAAGATGTTTTTGTGGCTAAAGAAATTAAGATTTTTTTTCAGGGGACTAAATTATATGTCACACTGCTAATGACACTGATTGCACTATTTGATGGCACAACAATGTCAACTCACCTTTAGTTGCCAGTAGCTTTTTCTGTTCATAGTCAAAAGCCTGTAAAATTCAACAAATGGTTAAAGCCAATAAAGCCACGACCTCTCTTTCCATGTTAGCTGTGTGTGTGTGTGTGTGTGTGTGTGTGTGTGTGTGTGTGTGTGTGTGTGTGTGTGTGTGTGTGTGTGTGTACCTGCATGTTGGCAAAGGAGGTCTGAGGTGCCAATCGGATTCTCTCCCTCTCGTTCTGTTGTGCTGCCCTTTCAGCTGCCCGCTCACTCCCCGGTGCCCTCTTATCTGCCACAGGACTGTCTGATGAGCTGGACTCCGTGTCCGAGAGGAGACAGTCAGAACTGTTGGAATTAAAACAGGCACTGTATCAGTAAATAACCTTTCTTCAGCTCATCATTTGCTGACGTGATCACTCAGGCTGTTAAAGAGGGCCTTTAGTAGCTAGCATCTCCATTATCCCTTTTCCACTAGTATCTACTCAGCTCGACTTGCCTCGGTTTTAAGGATTTTCTATTTTTGGCACCAGGTACTTTTTTAGTACTTACTCAGCCGGGGTTCTAAGTGATCCGAGGACAATTTTGAAACTGGACAATGAGGGAAATGGCTATACAAAAAAAACAACAACAACACAGCGGTCTAACAAAAAGCGGCTGAGCCTCAACGGCCTCCATTATTCTATTACGTTTGTGTCGCATACAAATGACATCATGTGACTTTGCTATTACAACCTCAGTCACATAAGGTGCCTGACTCAGTTCTAATAGAAAACGACTGAAACCGAGTAAAGCCGAGTCGTGTCTAGCAGCTACTCGTGGAAAAGTGCTCGCTCTCATGAATGCTGATGTATATTCGAATTTGTAGCAGCAGAGTACAGTTTTTGGACTCGAGTAATTTTGCATGAATCACAATTCAACACACAACGCTCCCTTTCATGCAACTTTCTTCTGACTGGCTGTGCCTCTCAAACAAAAAATATGAAGATCAGCTGGGCGGGGTTTCTGTGCTCACACAGCCAGAGCTGTGCACTTGAGATAACCATGTTAAAGATATCTCTTCTGACTGACATCAAACAGAGCCAAACCGCTAAACAGCTAAGCAGTTAAAACAGTCTGAAGCCTGAGCTTTCAGCTCAAAGGGCATTACTTGCACATTTGCAGACCTCATTATTTCAAACTTTGGCCATGTTTGATATTAACATCACAACTGTCAGAGCGTCTATACGGAAAAAAACAAGGGAAAGTTGATGGATCCCACTGCACTATTGCAAAAACAGCTGATGTACTGGGATTATTATAAACATAGAGTTAGCCATCATAATAACAATGCTGTCCAGTATAATGTGTATAATGTACCACAGCTGGTTGCTCCAGTTTGGGATAGTCAGTGACTTTATGCATTATTATTGTTTAAAAATAAAAATCATCCCATTGTTTCTGGGCTTATCTTAATATCTGTAAAGAACAATATTTAAAGAATACTATCAAACTTTAGGAGCATGATCTGTAAAAGATTTTGGGAGAGATGCTAAAAAGTAACAACAGAAGTCATAAATGATTCAGACATACTGTAGATGGGAGTTCTTGGTGCCCTGCAGGAGCTCCACAGCCTGTCGTTTTCCTGATGATGTCTTACATGACGCCAGCATCTGTTTCAACTCACTTCCATTAGCGGAGTGCGAGGGGCTTCTGGGCATGCCCACTTCTACAAATGTGTCAGAGCCTGAAGGAATAAACATGGACAAATTGTGAATATTCTCTTTTTTCTGTGCAGACAAAATACACATAATGACAACAATAGCTGTAATACCTTAGGTTTCATCAATTTCAATTTATACCATAACACAGCCTGCACTCAGAAGTGACTGGGTCATTCAGTATGAGTGAGTATGTTTAGCCTGTGAGCATATGTACTGCATGTGTGCATGCATTCAAGTGTGACAGGTCTCACTTGAATTCTAGATTAATTAAAAACACACCAGCTGTGATTATAGTGCTTTTTCATCCGCTTCTCTGCTTTTAACCCAACAAGGACCTACTCTGTGCAACAGGATGTGCACGTGTGAGTATACAGGGGTCGCATACTGTAAAATAATATGATGTCAGCCACTTAAACGAAGTTCTCTGGGGTTTAATGTTTGAACAATATCCCCAGACACCTTCAACTGACACAGCGGAGTTAAGTTGTACGAGGCAAGCCAGCGCAAACACATTCTGGGACACAGGAGGTGGTAAGGGAGGGAGAGGAAAACTTAACTGGACACACCGCGTCGGGGGAGGACAAACTTTAAAAACAGCGGGGAAAAACGAGACGCGTGAGAGTGAAGGTTTGAGGGGAAAACCGCGAGTGTAAGACACAGAGGAAACGAGGGCCTTTCTGAACCGCGAGGAGACCAGCAGTTAATCTGTCTCCACTCCAGTGCATGTAGTCAGAAAGCGTATGAGGTTAGGAGGACAGTATAGAGAAGTAAAACGTGGGTACAATAAAGGTATTTTCCTCAAAGTGGGTTTAAGGGTTACATAAATCTCAAGTGGAAAATCCTGATTTGGACATTTATGTTAAGTCTGCAAAGCTAAGGTCCAACAAACCTGAGCTGAAACTTTTAACAGCTCAAACATTTTGTCAGTCCAAGGCTGTAACAACACATAAATCATAAGACTTTGTTTATTATAAATGACTCGCCACAAAACGTGAGCAGTTGTGAATAAGAGAACACTTTCAAAATGACTTTTTAGCCAAGTTAAATGTTTTAATTAAAAACGGTGAAGATACGAATGAAAAATGTTCATAAAAATCTGTACATAACTTTTCTATTTTTTTTTGTGTCACCTCCAGGCCTTTACATTAAGAAAACCCAGGTGGCCGCCTTTGAGCAAGCACTTAGTGACAGTGGGAAGGAAAAACTCCCCTTTAATAGGAAGAAACCCCTGGAAGAACCAGGCTCAGGGAGGGGTTGGGGGAGAGCGGCGTTAACTTGAGACAAACCAAACCAATCACATGACCTCCTTGGCAGAGAGAATTAATCGTATATTATTCTCAATAGCCATTTTATATAGTACACAGTCATACGCCACTTTGTTAGGTACACCTCTTCAGTTGGTTGTTACTTGTATCACATAACAGCAACTCAATGCATTTAGGTACACATGGTCAAAAGGACCTTGTGAAGTTCAAACTGTTTAAACAATGGTGAAGAAATGTGACTCTAATGATGTGTTACTTACTCCATCTCAAGTGTTTATTGAGAATAGTCTGAGAGGAAATAAACAATAAGCAGGAGATCACTGGGTGAAAATGTCTTAATGATGCCAGAGGAAAATAGCCAGGAGTGCTTGGATCTGATCCGAAACCAACAGTAACACCAAAATTGGACAATATGTAATTGGAAAAACTTTGCCTGCTCTGATGAGACTCAATATCTGCTGCAGTGTTAAGACGGTAATGTCTGAGTTAGGTGTAAATGTGAAAGCATGGATGCAGCCACAAATCACACGTGTTCAGTGACAAGGACACTCTGTAATGATTTGAGAAATACCTTCGTCCGGGCTGGACTTGCTTGACCGTGGTTCTGATGGACTGTGGCCACTGGCTTCCTGGACTGAGTCACATGGAGCTGGACTCAAGACATTTTCTGCAATTGACGCCGTTGTTATCCTCCCATACACTGAGCCAGAGTGCTATACATGTGCATGCCCACACAAAAAATAAAAAAATAATTATTATCACAGTCATTCAAAACGTAGAGCGAGGTGATACAATATAAAGTTGGTAAGGGCCCAACCTTGACATGTCCATTCAGGGTGCACTCAGGGACCCCGTTGGGCTGCTTGTCTATGGGGGCGAGGCCAGGTGGAGGAGATGGTGTGTTCGGTGTATAACTTGGCACACCGGACAGCAGGATGCTGCTCAGGGTGGCCTGAGTGGCAGGATGCAGCATCAGCTGGGACGAGAAGCCTTAAGTTTCCAAAATATCAAAGTAATAAGAAAAATGTTATAGGGCTTTTTATCATGTTATACATTACCTGAATTACCAAAATTAAAATAAAGATTAAAATCCTTACAAATGTCTCACTCTTTCACATCAAGCATGCATCAAGACACATAATTTGTGAATAAAAAAATAAATAAATTAAATACAGATTTACCATAAGAGCTACTGGCAATACTATATACAAACCTTGGGTGCTGGTGAGTGAACTTGGCCAGAGGGAGGGGGAAGGAGTTGGGTTACTGGGGCTTGGGGTCTGCAGAGGGCTCATGGAGGAGTTTAAGCTGTTCAGCACAGCGTTTGGGGCAGCAGAATTGGGGAGAGAGTGTGATGCTGTTGCACCCAGGAAGCCTAAAGGGTAACCAAAAGAAATTAGGAAAGAAAGGAGAAGACAGTATATGAATAGATCAGTGGTGGTCCCGGCAAAGTGCATTTTTCAAGCTAATCATAAGTTGCACTAAGAAAAAAAAATCTTGGTCTTCCAGCTATTTAACTGGAATTCCATCAAACTGCCATCAACCCAACAGCAAATGAGAGCAAGAATTTCTTAAATTTCTACAAGGTCATGGATGCATAAGTACACGTCTAGTGTGTCCTCATACCCAATAAAACTATGGTATCGAGAACACCAACAATGTGGTGCTTGGTGTCTTAACCCAAACGCAGTGTATGAAAACAGAAAGAAGCAGGTCTGTGGCTTTAACAAGGGGCTACTTTGGCTCCAGGAATAAGGCCAGGGATTCTTCTGGCACACTGGTCTGTAATCTGAAGAAGAAAAGCATGTAGCAATTACTAAAGGCCAGGATGTGGCCGTCCACAGCTTCACCCGGGGCCCCCGAGTTTAAATGAAACAGCAAAAAAAAGATTTCTACTGTACGGGCACTCTCCTGGCACACTGAGCTTTTTTTGCAGCCAATCTTTAATCTCATTTTCTGGGGGGACAATCCAATCATAAACTGAACACATGCTCATCAAAACTAACAGAAGATATGCTAAAACATTTGTGCTAGGTTTTCCAAAATTATAACAAAAATAAACCCATTATCACAGAAAATTCTCAGCACAAATACATACTCAACATCTTGACTATCACATATGGTCCAAGTCAGTGGTAGGAGAAAATAAACACATTCCAGTTATATAATGCAGATTTGCTGTGGTTACCATTTGACATACTGCATTTATATTTAAATTTCCAACAGATAAATTGCAACAGATCTACTGCCAGCTAGTGCTTACAGGAATGAGCCACTTCCTGTCAGCTTATCCTATCTGCCTTTCCGACTGCCTCTGATATATAAATCATGTCCTAAATTCCATGTTTTTTTTTTGTTTGTTTTTTAAACAGACTGAATCTCCAAATTTTTTATCAGAAGAATGCAAAAATCTGATAACTGGGACTAAAGATTTGTTATACACTGCACGCACTCTTACAACCAATTGAAAGTCATCCATGGAAACAAAAATGTCCCCTAATCTCAACAGTTCTGGACTCTGTTGGGCTCAGATGTTGAGGTCAGCGCTGCAGACAAACTCCTACGCGATAAGAACCGTTCATCATCCTGTGATTCATAATCTCTTAAATCATTCAAAGTGCTGCAACTACATGTGTACCGAGGTTATTTTCTGATGGCTGACTGATCAAAGATGTGCAGATTTGGACTTGCGTCCACACAGCTCCTACTGTAAAGGTCATATAGAGATGCAGTGAGTCACCAGCTGTGATTTATGTAAAGGGGGATTGTGTTTTTCAATTCAGTAAACCAATGAAAATTATTCTAAAAGAGACTACTCTGTGTTACACGCTTGGGAATGACACTGGTTCATGAAGATATTAGTTCTTCTATCATGATACAATTTAATCTGTTGCATTTTGTGCACAAAATAAAAGGTAACATCTTATTATTTAGCATTATTTCTTAGCACGTTAAACATTGTCATTACCAAGATTACTCAGCCCCAGGCCAGCTGAGGCCAGGATGTCCAGGCCAACAGGGCAGATGAGAGATGGGGATGGACCATTAGTGCCGGCATTCAGTGCCACAGGGGGTGAGGAAGACACCACTCCATTGCTCTCGAGACCCAAGAGGAATTTTCGGGCTTCGTACATGTTGACTGCATTCCTCTCCACACTCTTGACTATCACAGACTGGGAGAGATCGAGAGAGAAGGAAGAGGCGATGAGAAACCGGTGAAAACGGGAACAAGTGGGATGGACATGGAAATAAACAGGAAACTAGGAGGCAGAAGAGAAAAGCAAGAGGAGGAGCAAGGGAGAGATAGGGTAGGGAATGTTGGTACCATAGATAGGGAGTGAAGGGGAGGCTGAGGGAGAAGACAAACATAAAATGTGAGGAAGGAAGAGGGAATTAAGGGTAGATTAGAAGGATAAACATTGAGGCAGTGTGGGAGAAAGAAGGAGACGGGGGAGGAAAGACAGTGAGAGAGACAGTGTTTCTTGATCAACATATCTGTCTGATATGAGAGAAGAAAATAAGAGACTGTAAAAAGAACAGAAAAACACAAAATTTACAATCAGATTTGGAATCATTGAAAGAAATGACTGGAAACCTTGCTTTATTCGATCTTACCAAACATCAAATATAAATCAAAGTGCTGGCTTTTTGCATTTTGCCAAAATTGAGCTTCTGAATTTTTTTTTTCAATCAGCGGTGAGTATCCCTGACACACGTGCACACCCTCCTCTACAGGACTGCCAAAATGATTGAAGCAGACAGGCTGTGGCACCCATTTGGACTGGCCTTTTGGATTATTGCTGTCACCTCATTAAAATGTTTAAGTGAAGGGTTCTTAAGAGGATCTGGGCTGGGTCGGTGTTTATACTGGCACTTTCACACCGGTCCCCGCAGGCCCGTCTGGTTTGGGCATTGAGCCCTGACTCAGGGTGGGACGTAGGCACCTTGATGAGCAGGTCAGGTTGAGGCCAAACAGTGAAATATGACTAGGAATACTACGTCTACAACAGCAGACTATTATAAACATTAGATCAATTGTATATACAAAAAAGGCGTGCCAAAGATTGAGTAACAGATTTCACTAATAGAAGCTACATTTAATTAAAGGTCATTGAGCTTAACTCCAAATTTCTACCTAATTTACCAAGAATGAAGCCACTTACTTTTTGTTATGCTTCAGCTTTTCCTACTAAAAAAACAGAGTGGCCCTGTCCAGCAGATGAAACATGCATGGCAGGCTGTGCAGAGGAGAGACTGCGATTCCCCGCTGTGGCAGATGCCGACTTGCCAAAACCTTTCACTGTGTTGGTACAGGGATCCAGTTTTTCCCTTTCTAAGTTTTAGCAGTGATGAAATATGACAAGGCAATCCATAATTTACTTCAATGTCATGCTGTCATTTGATGGAAAGTAACTGAAATGGAACAGTGGCTTATTTGTTTCTCTAGCAGTCGTTTTTTTCCCTTCTCTGACGCTGCATTTGAACAAGTAGGACAGCAGCTGTCTTTTTCTATGGGAGAAAAGGACACATTTTCATCTAAACTTTAATGTTTACTGGATGTTTGGCTTTTTTAATGCAGTCTATTATACATGTTGTGACTTCTTAAGATAAGACCACTGTGGAAACTGAGTGTAGTATATGCCAGATGCTTGAATCAATTATGAGACTGGCTGAAGGTTAAGGCATTCATCCACTTTGTTACTCATTTAATTAGTTCAGGTTTGCAGTGGGTGGTGGGTGGGGGGTTGTAGAGTGCATTGAAGCTGCCACAGGGCAAGGCATGAGTTACACCCTGTACAGGTTGCCAGTCCATCACAGGATAACCCCACATGCCCACACGAATACCTACGGCCACCTTAGAAAAACAAGTTAATTTAACAAGCGTGTCTTTGGACTGTGCACGGAAACCAGAGCACCTGGAGGAAACCCGCGCAGGCACTGCGAGAACATGCAAACTCCACACAAAGAGTCCAACAAACCAGGAGATCTAAACTCAGAACGTTCTTGCTGTGAAGCAACAGTGCTAAAAAAAATAAAAGTTTATATTTGGTGGATTTTTATGCTATAATTTTTTATCATTGCTGTAACATGCTGGCACTGTGTAACATTTATTCATGTAAGCAAGTGGTTCTTTTCTGTGTGCTTCATCTTCAGAATCTACATCTACTCTGTGTGCAACTATATGAGCAGCAAACAGCTGTGATGGAATATTTCCTCTCTTTAGTTAAGTAAATACATTACTCTTATTTGGTTATTTTGCCTGGTAGGAGCTCTGTAACAGTCAATACAGAGTGCACAGCTAGTGTTACAGAGGAGGACACTCAACACTGTGTCTGTACACTGCCTCCTAAAGTAATCATTACTCTGTCAAGTACATATTACAGTCCCAAATGTAAAATGCATAAAGAAGAAAAATTAGCTTCTTTTAAAAACAAAAAAAAAAACCAACCTATTTTTTCTTTGAGAAGAAGAAAATTGAGAAGTATAAAACCTGGTAACTAAAAGTTGACAGCAGAATAAATACACTGTACATAAATACACTAATAACATGGGGCACTTTCTTTAGTCTACGATGTTCATAATATTATAGAAATGTGGTCCAGTTTCCTATGGGTGCCTGTTTTAGTCCTCAAAAAAATGAGCTAATTTTTCCACAGAGTGCATTTCTTGTACTTTATCCAACCACTGATCACTTTTTAGCCAGTGTCTTGTTATGTTCTTTTTACATGCAACAGTCAAAACTTTGAAGGGATACATTTAAGGAGCTGCTGTGGTTCAGTTCATCTCCTAATTTGAAGGTTGCTCCCGATGCAGCCGTCAGAGTGTGAATGTGATAGAAAGCACATAGAATAACTTGCTTGTATGAATGTGTGTGTAAATATATCCTCTAGAAATATGATTTTTAATGCCAGTGGAAATGTTAAAGTATGATCCTGGATACACAATCTTTCCTAGTTAAAAAAAGGAAACAAATAACTATTTAATTTAAACAACACTAGGAGCTTGTCATTTAAGCTTATAATAAAAATGATGTGTTTGCATGCAAACATTTGCTAACTGCCACTAAATTCAAAGTAAATCTGATGCTAATAACAATATTCTTCATTTTGATGTGGGTCTTTGTTTACTTTGAAAGCACATCTATAAAAGTGGACTGTGAGCTAAATGGACTAAAGCCAGCTTAATAAGCCATAGATGATGCAGCATTTGGAACCGTTTCTATGTTCTTTATGGAGCGATAACACTATACTGCTAATATGACTATCGAGGATACAAAGAGTCC